AGGGGTTATAGAATAATGGGGAATTGTGGAATAATAGGGGGTTATGGAATAATATGGGATTGTGGATCAATAGGGGTTCATAGAATAATACGGGACTGTGGGATAATAGGGGTTTATAGAATAATGGGGAATTGTGGAATAATATAAGATTATAGAATAATGGGGGGTTGTGGAATAATAGGGTTTATAAAATAATGAAGGATTGTGGAATAATAGGGGTTAATAGAATTGTTACGAACGCTGGTATTTTGGATACCCGTTCATTCGCTTTCTCCCAATCTGCTAGAGGCTGAGTGATTATACCTCGCAGTTCTGGTGTTGATTTGAACGTTCTCCAGACGTAAATACAGTATACAAGTAAATCCACCAAGTAATCAGACATATACCCAAAAATCAGCCTGAACTAGATTAAGGGTACAACAGGAATGAATGTATTCAGGCCAAACGGACGGCTTTTTAGCCCAGCAGCGGCGGTTCGTGGAGTCTGCAGTACTTATGGTGTCTACAGTGCTGATGGTCCTTTGGTGAGCGCTAGGAGCATCTTTTCTACGGTCCAACTTTCAGCTAGCCTGGAGGCAACCGTAACATTTCAAGCGGTGTTCGTGCTGTTGCGTGTCCAATTTGAGTTCCATAAACTCGACGACCAAACACAGATGAACGCCTTCGACTAAACAAGATAGCCGCCGACCGTGTTTGACTATATGAATGGCGACCAACCAGCCGTTCGTCAGTTAGCTGAGGTTAACCATAGCTTCTGGTGGGTAAACAAGCAGCACACTCCACTTGCGGGTGGTCCGGCTGTTCGACAATTTGTTCGGTAAACCCCATTTACCGAACCACATAGGAAAAAGGCACAAACAACCCTTTTTACAGTCTTTGGACAAAGCTTTAGCACATGGGCCATAATCCTGGGACAAGAGGCTGGCAATCAGGCCCCTCCAAAAGCCAGTGGCGAAGTGCAGTTCATCACAATGGGGGATTGTGGAATAATAGGGGTTTATGGAATAATATGGGATTGTGGAATAATAGGGGTTTATAGAATAATAAGGGATTGTGGAATAATAGGGGTTTATAGAATAATAGGGGATTATAGAATAATAGGGGATTAAGGAATAATAGGGGTTATAGAATAATGGGGAATTGTGGAATAATAGGGGGTTATGGAATAATATGGGATTGTGGATCAATAGGGGTTCATAGAATAATACGGGACTGTGGGATAATAGGGGTTTATAGAATAATGGGGAATTGTGGAATAATATAAGATTATAGAATAATGGGGGGTTGTGGAATAATAGGGTTTATAAAATAATGAAGGATTGTGGAATAATAGGGGTTAATAGAATTGTTACGAACGCTGGTATTTTGGATACCCGTTCATTCGCTTTCTCCCAATCTGCTAGAGGCTGAGTGATTATACCTCGCAGTTCTGGTGTTGATTTGAACGTTCTCCAGACGTAAATACAGTATACAAGTAAATCCACCAAGTAATCAGACATATACCCAAAAATCAGCCTGAACTAGATTAAGGGTACAACAGGAATGAATGTATTCAGGCCAAACGGACGGCTTTTTATGCAAGACAAGGGTACAGTATACACGCCCACAGAAACTCCCACAACACGCCCCTTACATTCCTGAGTCACAATGACTCGATATAAAATATCAGAAGTACATAATAAAACACATAAATATTATAGGGACCCCCATAAATGGAATATTCCCAGATAGCTTGGATCTGAGCTTCCAAGTTGTCCAAAAACTGCTCCCACGAACACAGCCGAGGGTAAAGATTTGACCGACCACTCATGAGACACTTGCCCAAAACAGTTCCAGAGATTCATGGATAGCGGACGGTCAATTTTGGAAGTCCCAAACTGAACAAATCCACGAACAGTGCCCTTGGCTCATAAGTAGCGTTTTTTTCCCTGGGTTCATGAGAACAAACCTACCGAACAGCACTCTCCTGGCTGTTTGAGGAAAAGATGCAGGCGTTTGCGAAGTTGACCGCCGTTCGGGAAGTCTAGTTTTCGATTTGGAGTTACAGGCACTAGACGACCGAGTCCCGTTGCCTCTTTTTATGCTCCAAGATGGCCGCCGTTTTCTCCAAAATGTGTTGTTCAGTTACACGAATGGCGGCCATATAAGGAGAGTGCTAATTCCTGTGGTTTTCTTTGAACTTAATGAGCCGGGGGGTGGTTCAAAAAATAATGAATGAGCACCAAAGTATGTAGTTTTCTTCACAAGAATAATGAAGTATTGTAGCATAATAGTGGTTAATGTAATAATAGGTGTGACAGACCCATTGTTAAAGGACCACTATAGTGCCAGGAAAACATACTCGTTTTCCTGGCACTACAGTGCCCTGAGGGTGCCCCCACCCTCAGGGTCCCCCTCCCGCCCGGCTCTGGAAGGAGGAAAGGGGTAAACACTTACCTTTTTCCAGCGCTGGGCGGAGAGCTCTCCTCCTTCTCTCCTCCTCCGTTCCGCCCTGTCGGCTGAATGCGCACGCGTGGCAAGAGCTGCGTGCGCATTCAGCCGGTTGCATAGGAAAGCATTTACAATGCTTTCCTATGGACGCTGGCGTGCTCTCACTGAAAATCACAGTGAGAAGCAAGCAAGCGCCTCTAGTGGCTGTCAATGAGACAGCCACTAGAGGCTTTGGGGGAAGGCTTAACCCATTAATAAACATAGCAGTTTCTCTGAAACTGCTATGTTTATAAAAAAATGGGTTAACACTAGAAGGACCTGGCACCCAGACCACTTCATTAAGCTGAAGTGGTCTGGGTGCCTAGAGTGGTCCTTTAAGACACCCCTGGTGTCTTTAAATGAAACCGCCGTTTAGTTAGCCTTCCCCTTTCGTAATACCAGTAACTCCATTCGCATAGACTGCAATATACGAACCACCATCAGGGGAAGCGGTAATCTCCCGACCAGGATCCGTGAAAGGCTTTAAACTCCTGAACGGAGATCCACGAACTGCTGCTAGCCACCGAACAACGATATCCACCAATCGGCTTTCGGTTCCAATAAGCAGTCTCTAAGCGCAAATAAGAAATCCCCCCAATAACGAGACAGAAGCTCCGCATTGAGGGTCAAACAGGATCTGGCTTTACTGTGGGCTACCTGCCCGTATTTATGCAGGTCTCCCACTTGGTGGACACTCCCCTAGGGGACCAAATGGGAGACTGGAATTACAGACAGACATAATGCAATATGGTTTCCTCCTCTCTGCCCTGGAGATAATTGAGAAGTAATTCAATTATCTCCAGGACAAAGACAAATCGCCATCTTAAATACAATACCAGAAAATACATAAAAATACATAACTTTAAAATAACCGAACATTTCCCATTCGTATCACATATCCCCACATAGCCTGGATCTGAGGGCATAGTATTGGCGAATAGCGCTCAGATCCCACACACGTAGTTCAATCGCCATGGAGTCAAAGTCCTTACAGTCTTTCGGTATACAATTGACTCCATGGGAAGGCTATCTGGGTTAAGTCCTTTCTTGTGTTTTAAAACTCCCGAACGGCCGGTGTTCGTACGCTTTTGTCGAGGCAGCCAGGCGACCCGTTGTTCAAGCGGTGTTCGGCAGAAAAAGTGTCAGTTTTTAGTTCCATGGAATCAGTGCCAAACACCACTGGGCTTTCGTGCGTTTTGAAATGGCCGCTGCCTCGTGGTCGACATACGAACGACGGCCACCCTGAATTCGGTTTAATTGAGAAGTGTCTGCGGTTAACCACAACGTTCTAATTGGGATCAAGATGTTAACCAGCAGCACACTTCTTATTCTGGGTGGCCCTCCGTTCTGTGAATTTGTTCGGTGAAAACAGTCGTTCGTATGGCTGGGCTATAGAAACAGCCATTTACACGAAAGGGGCAGAAATAGACAAATCCACCACAATAGACAGACGGATGGTTCTGTCACACCCATCTGTCTGTGAATTACTTTTATTTTCTCTCCATTCGTCTGTTTGTTCAGCTATTTCCCTGTCCGTGCAGCCCCTACGTTTATTTATTCTTTTTACCCCGAGAGGGTAGGGTAGAAGCCTAAAATGTCGCCTTTGACATTAAATCAAAATCAAATGTTCAAGTGAGAACACACGAAAACAAACCTAAGACAAACATTATCTAACTAGATTTAGCAATTGTAATGCAACAAAGATGAAATATAATCTGCATTATTGATGACATTGGGGAGCTATTCTTCTG